TATTTATCTACATTTTCAGGTTTAGGTTAATTTGTCTGATCTTTCTGAATACAGAATGACTGACAAGAGACTCTCACCCAATAGTGTGTCTGTTCCATTTCTCTGTGCACCATATGGATAGCTGCGATAGGCTGATGGTGAACGGGGCGGGGAGATGCCTGGTGACTGTGGTGGAGACCACGCCTCCTGTCAGATACAAGTGTGAAACACATTCATTATAATCGTCATTAATTAGAGGAAAAGTATCAAGCTACTGCTGCATGTCATCTTTGATAAACCGACCTGCTTGTCCATGCTGGTGTCAGGGTGTCTGAGTACAGGTCTGTCTGCAGGGGGACGAGGGGCGGAGCCTGCAACCGAGCCCAGGATGTGAGACTGGCTCTCATTGGTCAAGGGTTGATTGGGGTAACGCATCTCAAGCTCGTTCGTTATCCCGACAAACACAGGAAGAGGAAGTTCTGTAGAGAAGGGTACATGACAGTATGTTCATAACAGCATACTACTCATACTATTTTCTGTGTACAGTGGATTAAACAGTCCCATCAGGATTTCACTATTTATTTAAATAATTTATTATTAATAATTTCTATTTTCTTGCATTTATTTTGATTTTTTTTAACTTGTTTAATTTGACGTCTTATTGAATTATGACACACAACTTTTAAACAAGATTTTTTAAAATTAATTTTATTAATTGATTACAGCAGATTAAGTTGTCCCACCAGGATTGTACTTCGTTTTTTGTGATTCTTTACTGTTTTTTTGTATAATTTTATGATTTTTATATTTACGATACCACATGTACCATATTATGTATGACACTAGATGTACAACAGTCATACACAACAGCCAAAAAAAACCCCAAAAAAACAGAAAGCTTGTTTATTTTTCTATCTTATCAAATTCTCACACATACATTTTAAACAAGGTATTAATTAATAATGAATAATCATTAATAAAAAGTAAGTAAAAATGTTAAAAATATATATAATTATTCGCTAATTCTTTCTTGATTTATTTGCAATCAAAATGACTGATTTTGTGGCTGTAAATGATATTACATATGACACTAGATATACACTAGTCATATGACAGATCATATTATGTATGACACTAGATGTTAGGGATGTAATGATGCACCCCGAGCAGGTTTAAAATCGATAAAAATATGTGACGATTCAAGTCGGTTGAGATGTTAAACGAATCGCGACACATTTGGGGTTGAGGGTTTATATGACTGTATCTGTGAGGAGAACTGACTTCAGAAAAGTTTAGATGATACTTTCTTTTTATCTTGCCTCTTTTGTAATGCATGGCAGCACTGCTTTGTTTACAGCGGTAACCAAGGAAACGCTCTAATCTCTCATAATCTCATTTAAATCAAAAACTACTCACCCCGCATGTATGCAGCACCTTTGTTTGGATCGTGATTAAAATACAATGGTTGCCTCTCATTTTAAATGAAAAGAGCACAGGCAAAGCTTTAGTTTGTTTATATGAAGAGATTGCTTTTATTTGTTTTATTTTTTTGTTTTGGGATTTGTTTAAAAAGTTCAATTTAGATTTGACATATTTCAATGTGCAGCATTTTGTCTGAGAAATAATAAAAAGGACACCTTTTCATTTATAATTTGTCTTAAATCTCATTTTGTAAAAAAAAAAAAATCATGAGAAAATTGTATAGTGAAATCAGTATCGTGAATCGTATCGCATTCGTATCGTGAGTTGAGTGAATCGTTACACCCCTACTAGATGTACAACAGTCATACATGAAATGAACATTTTTAGTTATGAAAAATAAAAAATATGTCCTGGTAATTCTTTTTGACATTATGCACATTCTGCATGTAATTTTCCTCATTTATGTATTTTTTATTATTATTATTATTATTTTTAATCAGACTAATTTGCGGGTTAAATAGTGAATTATGCAGGATTGCAAAAAAAAAAATATTTTGCATTGTTTTGTGGTCACTGAATTGTGAAAAACTGGAGAGACAGATTAAAACAGCAAACAGAACCCGAACACCCTGATTAGCTGGTTTAGCAAGAGCTCAACTTTGCACAAAAACAGGAGCAGGACTGAAAAGTGCTGATCTAGATGAAAAGTAAACATAACCCAGCCAATCATCTCTCAAAGGAACCTTTGAGGTCATCTTGATAAATCTGTCTTTCCTGGTTACAAACTCTAGATCTTTCTCCTCGTCTTCCCACAGTAAAAGTGCCAGGTAAAGTCATTTGTGGGTTAAACAGAAGCCGACGTGAGATCATCTGAGCTCCTCTCTCCGCTGTGAGGGTCTCGCAGGCCAGCGGGTTCCTGAGTAACAGTCTGTACCAGGATTAAAGACTAATCCAGGCTCCGATCGCCTCATTTCAGCCCGTCAGGGTGGCCTGGAGCTGTGCCGAGCTCTGAATCAGCCTAGTGCTCGACATCACCGTGTTTAAGTAAATACATTTAGGAAATGTTTTGGCTCTGCTGAGTTAATGTTTGAATTCATTTCTGAACTCAGGCCCAACAGTTACATACCAGCATTTTGGATAATATTATTGAAACTGGAAACTAGTGGTGCTTGCACAAGCAAAACTCAGTTATTAAGGTGTTCAACAGGAAACAATGGTGCTCACAGATCAAATTATTTGCTTATTTAACAAATAATATGCATAATTACTTGCGTAGCATTTTAAATCGAAACATTCAAATAAACCGGTGATCATTTAGGTTGAAAAACAACAAGTAATTATATAAATAGTTATTTTATGAATAATAAGAATATTAATTTAAATAGTTTACCCTAACAATAATTAAATACATAATTTAATTAAATGAAATACAATAAAGATAATATTAACAATACTAATATTAATAATTTAGCTAATAATGTTAATAATGTTTTATATTATGGGATTTATTTAGCAGAAATAATGAATAATCGGTTATGCATTTATAAATATCATAAATATTATAGATTTAATTAAAAACAATATTAAAAATGAAATAAATAATAATAACAATCATCACCATCATAAAATACTCTTAATGCATTGTTTTTATTTTAACTGACTTTTTTAGCAGAATTAATAACTAATAATACTAATAACTAATAAATAATATGCATATGCAATTTTTAAATAATTACTTTTATAAATAGTAAGACATAATATGAATTAACATAATAATTAATTAATAAAATTAACAACAACAACAATAAGGGGTCATATGATGTGATTTCAAGTTTTCCTTTCTCTTTGGAGTGTTACAAGCTGATTGTGCATAGATAAGATCCCTGAAGTTGCAAAGACTAAAGTCTCAAAACCAAAGAGATATTCTTTATCAAAGTTAAGACTCTGCCACGCCCCCCTAAAACGGCTCGTTCTAACACGCCCCCACATATCTACCTCACTATGTGATATTGCAAATGCCTCTGTATCTGTCTTTAAAAAAACCTGATCTCTATTTTTTTATTCTAAAATTGGAGTTCAATTTTTTTTTTTAATAATTTTTAGTTACTGTAGTGTTGATTATTTTTTGTAAGACCCACTAATACTGTAATAAATTACATTTGTTATGGTGGATTCTAAAGTAAAATGAATTAATAAAAAATAAATAATGGTGAAACAATTATGTCATAATCTTGAGTAATAAGGCTTTCACATTATGTATTGCTTATCAGGATTCATTCATAATTTGTCAGTAAAAGCACTGCTGTCACGCCACACAAGAAAAAGTGAACTTCTAATGTATAAATTCAGATTTAAAGGGCAAGACCATAAAAGGAGGCAGTCAGAGCGTTTGAAGAAACTGTCCTGTGGTTTAGTTCACACAGGCTCAGTCTGAGCGAGTTTTAGCTCAGCGTGTGGCGCTCTCTCCGCGCAGCACGGCCTCTGTGCGTCATCCCTCTTTAGCGTAAATCCAAGCACACTAGGCCAAATCCCTGATCCCCTTTGGTTCTCCCTCTGTTCACGAAAGGCTGAGGACTTACCACCTGAGATGCTCTCCAGACGTACCGGCAAACCCGCCTGCGCCGCGGCCATCAGCTTCAGAGCCACGTAAAACTGTCCACAGCCGAAATAGCCAAGCCGCTTAGCACCACACACTTCTGTTACCTGTCATGAAGAGAGAAAGAGAGAGAGATTTATTAATGAATGGCCACATGGAGACTTTAAAATCACAGAATGTATAGTGAAGTAAATTAAGCTACAATATTTCAGAAGCGTTCATTAATGTAAAGTGGAAATCATGGCTTAATGGCTGAAATTGATAACGTGGGAAAAAGAAAAGATAATAGCTAAATCCTCATTATTGGCTCTACAATGGAAAGAATAGCCGGCTGCAGATAAACCGCACTCTGAACAGGCTGAATTTCACTTTCATCTGTGCATCTGTAATTGAAAACTCGTACTGTAATGACAGATAAGAAACCACACGTCCTGCAGGAAGTGTTGAACGACAAACACAGACCTTCAGATTAACAATATAACTCACTTTAGACAGATGCAGATGTTAAAATGATCTACCCCTGCTGAAAACACATGCTGGTTTAAGATGCTCTTCCGGTTTGGCCTCCTGAAAAGTGCCCAATACGGCTCTAAAAGCATTTAACAGACCAACCACAACAGGCTCAGACCAGCTAAACTACCTTAAGCTGGTTTAAGACGTCATCCATCCTGAAAAGACAACACTGAGAACCTAAATGAGAAATCTAAATACTTCAAAACAATATACAATACCATTTATTTTTCCATAATATGACATTAACTACCAATTAAAAGTTTGGGGTCAGTAATTTTTTTTTATTCATATTTTTATTCAGCAAGAGTGCATTAAATTGATCAACAGTGACAGTAAATTAATTCATAACATTATACAAACATTTTTTTTTATTTCAAATAAATGCTGTTCTTTTGAGCTTTCTATCAAAGAATCCTGAAAAAAGTATCACAGTTTCCACAAATATATCAAGCAGCACAACTGTTTTCAACATTAATAATAATCAGAAATGTTTCTTGAGCAGCAAATTAGCATATTAGAATGATTTCTGAAGGATCATGTGACTCTGAAGACTGGAGTAATGATGCTGAAAATTCAGCTTTGCATCACAGGAATAAATTATATTTTGAAACATATTACAACAGAAAACAGCTACTTTAAATTGTTATAATATTTCACAATATTACTGTTTTTACTGTATTTTTTTATCAAATAAATGCAAATTTGTTGAGCATAAGAGACTTCTTTCAAAATATCTAAAATCTTACAGACCAGAAGCTTTTAAACAGTAGTGTGTTTCTGAATGAAACAAGATATTAAAATGCAAAATGTAGGGCGGGACTTGATTTTATGCATTCGAAATTGATTGGATGTTGAAAAGTTGCTAAATAAAAGGGCTTGACGATGTCAGCAGAAAAGGAAAGGCATTTCAAAGGTGGAGCAAGTTTGTACATTTTGATTTATGATTACAAACAATTTGGAATACAATTCAATAACAACTGATTTAAAATAACACCACAAACATGCATTAAAAAAGTAAACAGCATGAATATTAATTCCTGTGAATTTCAATACTTAAATACAAACTCTGAACCCAAAGTCTAAATCATCGCTGTATCACTCTCCTATAGTACTATAACACATACACTACAAATTCCTCCTGGGAAAAAGCACACAGTAGCACTAGAGTCATTGTTATATCACTCCACGCTGCTGAAATCCATCCTTCCGCACAGACACAGGCTCTGCGATTCATTGTAAACGTCTTCTCACACACAGGAAAAGATCTGTGCGCTTTAAATAGCAGCACATTGTGCGGTGTGCTGTTAAATATAACAAAAGAGAAAAACAGCCTGTTGTGCTGCTCAAGTCAAACTTGTTTCTGAATAACTATGAACTTCTTCAAGTAAAAGTTTCACTTCAAGACTCTTCAGAAGCAGCACTACTGAGCACATACAGCAAATAGAAAAGAAAAAAAACATTAAAATGTGTCAAAGCAAGTAAGGTCATGCTTGTTCTTGAAACTCTAATCTCACTTACGGCGTTCCCTCTGCCTTTCCAAACATTATCTGAAGAACTTCTCAAACATTGACACAGCGTTCCTGTTCCACCAGGTGTGATGGCATTATTGATCGCGTTCTCCTCCGATCCCTGCAGTGCTGATGGTTCATTACTCAACGCAGCGGTGAAGGTGAACTTCAGCCAAATATGACTCAAACAAAAAGCCTGCTGCAAAACTCTCATCGAATCAACTGCAGAGGTCCAGCAGATCAGGCTTTAGATGGACATCTGTCTCCAAAACACATTTTTACTCATTTCTAAAGGAAGCTTGGACATTTTGACCTCCTTGCAAACATGAAGAGAGCATATTTCCACAGAAATTATGAAATGATATATGAACATAACATGAATTTTATGAATCTGACATCATTTCACATCTAGTAATTATATATGGTGACCAACAAGATCTCCAGCATGCTATGAAAAACTATATCCAACATGTGAAACTAAAGAAACATGATCAGGATCACAGCAAACGTTTAAATAAAATATAAAAAGCGTAACATTTGTTTGGATTAAATAGAAAAAACAAAACAAATGCTGAACAGACAAAATAGTATTTTTAATTATTAGTTATTTTATATTGATAATGCTGTGTAATTAAAATGTACAATTGAATGTATACAAATAATTGTTCAAATTATAGATTTATTCAACTTTTTCATTTTAAGGCAAATTATCATTTTATATTATTTCCTTTAAAAAAAAATAAAAATAAAAAAAAATAAAAAATTATATATACAGTATAAAATGAAAAGTATACTATATATACACTATAAAAATAGTAAATGAGATCATGCTATATGGATACAGCATGAGCACAGCAAACGTATTAAATATTACTATATTGATATTACATAGGACCCTGGACCCCTATATATTACATTTATGAACGAAATAATGCTTTGGTAATAAGCAAACCTTATCCCATTGTATATTGTATGTGGACAAGCTGCAAGGGATTCTGGGATATTTATATTGTTTACGTCCTCGCTTTCATACTGAACTAGAGGATTACATGAATTGATTTTGAAAAAAAAAAACTCTAAGGAATATTCTAAGGAATCTTCAACTACATATGAAGCAATAGTACAAATTTTGTTGGAGAAAGCAGGAATTGGATGTTAAGTTTTATCACGTGTGTAGAACAACCGTTTCAATACTTTGTTCAAATGCTCTGATGAAGAGCAGTTCTGTGCTTCCAGCCGCTGAAGTCAGCTGTTACTGTGACTGATGGAAATAACAATGGCTTTTGACAAGAGCCTCACGTGCTCTAAGTGTGACCCAACTACTCGTCTTGAGTTCGAGTGTGTGTGTGTGTGTGTGTGTGTGTGTGTGTGTGGTGGCTTAAACTCGGTTTAATCATCTGACCTTCAGCATTACTTAAGCCTGACCTGCATTCTCCTGATCCACACAGAGCACAGATAATCTTACTCCATACATATACATGTTGTGGGGAGGATAATAAAATCGGTTAGAAACCTCCCACCGAACCCTCCTCATGACGGCTTATGGGATGCTGGGATACAGGAGGTCAGCCGACTGCAGTTCCTCTCATGGACACAAAAGAGTGTTCCTGCTTTTTTAAAACATTTGTCCGGCACATCTCGCCTTCTGACAGGATGTGATCGTATCCGAAAGGCAAGAGTGATATTTCTACGGAGTAATGTACAATGAAAAAAGATACAATTACAAATGTGAAATTAAGATACATTTCTGCAGGGTTTTGTCTTAGCGAAAGATTCAATCAGCATGCTGAAATCTATGGAAGCATGTTTCCACCATGGGATAAAATAATAATAATAATAATTTCATTCCAACTTTTTATTTTACAATTTTATTTTATTTTATTTATTTTGCAATTCTGAGTTTATATCTCGCAATTACGAGGTTAAATCTTGCAATTCAGACTCCTCTTCTCACAGTTGCAAATTATAAACTCAGAATTGCAAGAAAAAAAGTAAATTTTATAACTTTCCATTTCTTTCTGGAAAGAAAATTGCAAGAATTGCGAGAAAAAAAAGTCAGAATTGTAAGATAAAAAGTCGCAGTTTTACTGTTTTATTCTGTGACGGAAATGGGCTTCCATAAAAATCCACTAAAAACATCTTTTAGGACAAGAAAAATGTACCAGAGAAGAAATATTTCTATAGATATTAAGAAAATTATATATATAATGTTATCCATAATGAGACTGAAGTGTTTTGTCTTTGGTCCATTGACAGATTACTTTTTTTTTTATATAAACTAGAAAATAAACAAATGTCTAAATAATAATAATAAAAAAATAAAAAAAAAATAAAAATTATAAGATAAAAAAAAAAAATTTAAACTTAAAGCATGACTATGTAAATGCACAATGATGCTGATTTATAATCAGCTGATCATAATTCAATTGCAAATTTACCTTGAGTTTCTGTAGAAGCACTACATAATAATAATAATTATTATTATTATTATTAAATGTAATTAATAAAACATATTATAAGTCATTACTTTTATAATATATTTGTATTATGTCATTGTAATTTATTATAACAATTATTTAAAAAATCAGCTGCTATTTCAATCATCTAGTCTATGAAAGCAATTCTACGCACATCTAACTAAATAAATTCAGTATAACCAGACTGAACAGACCTCATTTATAAACCAACCATTGATTAAATAAATCTGTGTGGACAGGAAGCAGCATTAAATCCATTCCTGTTCAACCGGATCAAACTCAGCTCATGTACCGTCTGTTTCCTCCATCTGGGGCTGGGAAGGGATTTCACAGCATCACAACACAAACGTGCAGATGCCAAAACAGTTTTTACACCCCTGGCAACGGACATCACTTCACATGACACGCCCCGTAAAATTATTATTTCTGCCGCAAAAAGGTGTTTATTATGTTAGCCTGTTAAATAAAGCTCCAGTGTGTAATTCCTGCAACAGCAGCCATGGTGTGTGAACCATTCAGAACTGAACTGAAAATCACCTTTAAATCCCAAATCAATCCCTGAATTTGAATTGAATTCGAATTGAATTTTTTTAATGAACTTGCAAATAT